GTCGAGTGCCAAAGTGACATCTGTGGTTGTAATTTTCAAGTGATTCAGTCAACACAATTGTGTGAATTTCTCTTGCAGTATTCTTGGGGCTAAGTGGATAATCAACTTTAAGCAGGATTGGGATTTTACCAAGCAAGATCAGTGGAAGCAGATCAAGAGTCTTTACAGGGGGGTGGTTAGAGTGCTAGCCCAAGAAATCTAGGTTCGGTACCAATGGACACAGGACATGAAAGAGGTGATGGAGGCAGACATGGTAGTGGGCCACTGAAAGAATGATTGTTAGTACAGGACCTAGAAGCCCCGTTGTCAGGTGGATCACCGTGTGGATGCTAAAGTTTTAAGAATGATGGCAGGAACGAGATTATGAGCCAAAGGCTGTCATCATCAGTGGCTGAGGGGGGCGTGGCTAGGGGGCAGAGGGTGCTAACATACACTTCAAAGAAGCTGGGGGTTTTGAGGGATGAAAGGGAAACAGTTTGGGAGTGAATTGGAGGAGATAAGAAAACTCAGCTTCTACCCTGACAGGTGAAAGAGAAGCAGTGGCCTCCAAGGAAAGCCAAATTTTAGTTAAAATACAAAGGTAAAGAGACATTCAGAGAAAGTAAGAGACTAAAAATGTCAAAGAGTTGATGAATTACAGACTGGAGTGTCAGAGAGCAGAGTGAGGAGCTGGGGTGGGGTGGGAGAAGGGGTGTAGCACCAGTTAAGGTGCACAGGCAGCACTCTGCCCATCATTCTACATGTATTTACTCACTTCATATGTTAGGAGCCGTACAGAAAATTTGAGAATGTGCTTTCTGTACAGAAAATTGGGGGATGAATGACAGGAGGCTAGATCTTGTCAAGGTGAAAGAAGTCAATGGGTTATATAAAAGGCATGAGGGGATTGGTCTTGCAAGTCAGGGCATGAGGTGATGGGAGATCTCATGTGCCCTTCTTGGTAACAACATTCTGGAGCCATAGAATGTCATGTAAAGATTATTAAGATTATTGGACATGAAGTCGGAAGGTCCAATAATATTACCAATCACTCACTATTGGATCTTGGCACCAATGACTCCCTATTTGACCTTGGGCAAGTCTACATCTGGGTAGGTCTCAATTTCTTCATCTATAAAAACAACCAAAAGATAAATGAAGACAAATGATGTCATGAATATGAAAGCACTTAACAAATTGCAAAGTGTTGAGTGTGACTGTTGTGGTCAAGACCAGCACTGTGCTTGAAGAAGAAGATTATTTTGACAATAGTGTGCATAACGAGTTAGAATGAAGCAAGACCAAGTGCATGAGAGTTTGAAAAATATTAAAACAGCCCAAGCATGGGGGCACCTGGGTGGCTCAGTCGGTTAAGCATCCGACTCTTGATTTTGGCTCAGGTCATGATCTCAGGGTCATGAGATTGAGCCCAGCATTGGGCTCTGTGCTGAATGTGGAGCCTGCTTAAGAGTCTCTCTCCCTCTTCCTCTGCCCCTCCCCACCAGCTCATGCCTCTCTCTCTTAAATTAATTAATTAATTAATAAAATAAAAAAAAAAAAACCCTGCCCAGTCATGGTGAGTGAGGATCTGAGCTAGGGTGGTGGCTACAGCAATCCAAGGAGTTCAGGACAACCTCAGGATTATGATTAAATGATTATGATTTAGTTAGGATTTGGTACAAGCATGATCTCTCAAATATTTTGGGGGGCATGACTGAGCTGGCGCATTGTGCACTGCTGGATAGTGTGTGCGCCAGTGTAGACTACAGATAAAGCAACAAGTGCTGGTCACCCAGGAGCAACGACTTAGCTAACTGAGCTTCTGTGAATTCAGCCCAGTTGCCAAGACCAACTTGATGCCAATGGCTACCAAGGACCAGCTTTGGGGGCAGGCCGAGTGGGGGTAAAGGGTTCAGGAGTCAGACTTAGGTTCAAGTACCAGCTCGGTCAGCTCTGTGACCTTGGGCAAGTTGTTGAAGCCTTTGTTTCTTTATCTGTAAAAATGGAGACACTCATACTTATCCCATGGTACATGTCGTGAAAATTAAATAACTGTGATTATGTATGTCAAGAGTGTAACCCAGAGTTCAGTGGATAATAAGATCTCTATCATAGTAGTTGTGATTATTATTCCTAGGTCTTGAAACTATCCAGTAGCCAGTAAAACATATTGTCTCAATGGGTGTGGCACAGTGAGGGGCTATGTCTAGGGAGGGATTCAATGAGGGGCTGATAAATTATGACGATGGAGTCAGAAATGACCCCAACCAAAGCTGGGATATACCTGACCTTCAACTCTGATGAGGCAAAGACACATCCCTTCTCCTTGCACAGTAAATTTCTTAGGTCTAACTTGTATCATTCCCTGTCTTTCCCAGTGGCTTTGCTCTGTCCTTGGGGACAAAACCCAGACATATTTCTCATATTTTTGCTCAATGGTGGCTTTCAGAAGCCAGCTACTTGTGGCTTGTGGGGGACACTTGTCCTGTGATTGCAATGACTGCCCATGTTTGATGGAAGCAAAATGGCTAAAAGCAGTCTCTTTGGCTGAAATGTTAAAGCCACGCAGGCCATGTGAGTGCCAAACAGAGACCAACAGTGTGAAAAGGGGAACTCAAAATATAACCCCCTCCCAACTCCAAGACCCAAGGAGGGAGAGCCAGACAGCTCCTCAAACAACATTATAAACAAAAAGGAGTTTGTATGCTAAGTTTCTTTCTCTCAAAAGCCTAACTCTGTACCTGGTGGCTCTTCCATCAATATTTGTTGATTTAAAAAAAAAATTAATGAGGAGTGGGGTGGAGCAGAAAGGAGCAAAATATTCTGGGCTTCTAATGGAAACAGAAACACATGCACTGTGTATTCACAGAAATGTGACCATAGGGGTCAGGCTTGAAGGAATGAGACCAACTCTTGTGTTTGGCTTAGGAAACCAGTCTCACTACCTTCTAGAACTTTACATCATTCGATCATAAGTGAAATTGGATGTCATGGTTTCTCTTTAATATCCCAGGGAAGGGTAAGTTAAACAAATAATACTCTTTGGACAGTATCTCAGTCAGAAGGATGAAAAGGTTATGCTGGGATGTCAAATAGTGATAAAATCTAGCTGGCTTAAGATGTCCATCGACAGATGAATGGATAAAGAAGATGTGGTATATATACACAATGGAATATTATGCAGCCATCAAAAGGAATGAGATCTTGCCATTTGCAATGACATGGATGGAACTGGAGGGTGTTATGCTGAGTGAAATAAGTCAATCAGAGAAAGACATGTATCATATGACCTCACTGATATGAGGAATTCTTAATCTCAGGAACAAACTGAGTGTTACTGGAGGGGTGGGGGGGGGGAGGGAGGGGGTGGCGGGGTGATGGACATTGGGGAGGGTATGTGCTACGGTGAGCGCTGTGCAAGACTGTTGAATCACGGATCTGTACTTCTGAAACAAATAACGCAACATATTTTAAGAAAAAAGAAAAAGAAAGAAGATAGCAGGAGAGGAAGAATGAAGGGGAGTAAGTCAGAGGGGGAGACGAACCAGGAAAGATGATGGACTCTGAAAAACAAACTGAGGGTTCTAGAGGGGAGGAGGGTAGGGGGATGGGTTAGCCTGGTGATGGGTATTAAGGAGGGCACGTTCTGCATGGAGCACTGGGTGTTATGAACAAACAATGAATCATGGAACAGTACACCAAAACAAATGATGTAATATATGGTGATTAACATAACAATAAAAAATTTAAAAAAAAATCTAGCTGGCTTCCTACAGCAATGGCATATTTCTTGCAATTCAAAGTCCGCAGTGGTCCCGGCATCCTTCTGGGCAGCTGTCTTCCCAATACTGGCACATCATTCTAGGCTGCTTCAAATATGCGGCTTCTCCATTATCAACATCTGCTGTGACCGTTGTGGTGGGCAAGGGTGGGAATGAAGGAGGGCTTGGAGAGCTGAGCAGTAGCAGTTCACAAGGCCATGACCAACTTCAAGGGTGAGGAAGTGATTCCTCTCATCTGCCTGGACTGGAGGAGATGGGTAATGCTGAATAGTGGTGATGGCCGCCACCAACAGTTCCTCAAACCACCCAAGTTACCAGCTCTCACTGTGTTTTCTTTGTGTTACCCCTTTAAGGAAAACCAAATGAGTACTTTGGATTTGCAATTCCAAAAATCTTCAAGACCTTTCCAGATTCTCCACTCAGCATTACTTCCGACCTTTCAAATGTATAGTTTGTAAAGAAAACTTTTTTTTCGAGTATGAAATAAATGAAACTTTTATTACTTAAGATGCAGTGTGCCTCCCATCTGGAAATTTACCTGTTAGCCCTGTACCAAGTTTTGGGATGTGGACTGGCCCTTAAAAGCAAGTTCCTGTTAAAATAAAGGACCTTTGCATACCTGTAGCTAAACCTGCCTGAATGGGATAAAAATAGTCCCAGACTAGTCCCCTTTAAAATATACAGAGAAAGCATTATTTAGAAGAAGTCTGGCCTACTTCTGAGGTCTTTCATTATGAGCCACAATAAGTAATAGCTTAAAAGTTACTGAGTTTTTACTATGTCAATTTACTGGTGGTGAGTGCTTTGCATGCAGGTCTCATTTAAATTTCACAACACCCCCAAGAGATACACTTTTATTATCCTGATTTTACACATGAAGAGACGGGCTTGGAGAGGTCACTTAACTCTTCCAGACCTTCCCAGACCAAGGTTTGGACCCAGATCATCTGACTCCAGAGCCTTCACTCTTAACCGGCATCCTAGACTGACTCTCATCTCCTCTGAAAATAAGTCTTAAGGGAAATGGAGTGAATATTGCAGTCTGCGTATGAACAAGCGTTCTGGAAGCCCTGGCCATCAGGGTTCTTGTGTATCCGCTCAGTCCTGGAGAACTGCTGAGCAGTTATCCCCTGCCCCAGACATCCAGACTGTGTTCCTAGACATCAGGTGTGTGGATGGAATTCTGTTCCCTGAGCCTTTCACTAACAAAGCACTCTGTGTGTTTCTTGTGTCTTCCAGTTGACGGTCCTCCAGTGGAACCCTCCCAGTTTGTTTCAGTTGTCCCTAAATATCCAGACAAGATGGGATTTGATGAGGTAGGAAAGGTGCCTGTGTGTGCACGTGCACACACGTGCACGTATGCGGCATGCTTACGTGTTTATATTGGAGTGTGAGCCTGATCTTACATCGGACAGTCAGCAAAACTGGCTTGGCTGCTGAAAAGGCACCGAGGTCTTGGGAAAACAACTCAATTTGTGTCATGTCTCAGCTTTCTTATCTTAAAAAAGGAGCATTTGGGGTCCTTGGCCGGCTCAGTCAGTGGAGCATGTGACTCTTGGACTCGGGGTCGTGAGTTCAAGCCTCATGTTGGGTGTGGAGCCTACTTAAAAAAGTAGAAATAAAAATAAAGGATAAAAAAATGAGAATTACATGTACCTGAAACTAACACGATATTGTGTGTCAACTATATTCAAATAAATAATTTTTTTAAAAGGTAAAAGGTAAAAACAAATTATTCATTGGGTTAGAAAGAAGTTAGTATTTAATCATGAGTGAATTTTGTGTTTTCTAGGAGCAGATGCTGCTATATTTTGTAAACCTTCCTATAAAGATTCAAGGGTAAAGAAGATAATGTTTTAAGCATTAGAGGACCTTAACTTTATTCTGAGTGGATAGAAACCATTCTGGAACAGTCTGTGCTTTCTTTTCTCTGTGCTGTTCTTCCATGGAAAAAGGCTGAGGGCAGTGTTGAGAGGAAAAAGAAAAAGAGAAAAAAGGAAACCTGTTGTAAAATTCTGCCTTTCAGTGGACAAGAACTTCATAATAGCACTCCAAGGGCCATATTTAATATAAAGTTTTGAGTGCGTGAAGAAGGAAGCAAGAATATAAAGAAATACCTCTCTTGGTAATATACACAACAGCTACTTGGGAGTGGCCGAAGTGTGACTCCAAGTCACTGAATCCTTTGTGGGTCCCTTATGTCGTGTAGCTGCTGATCAGTACTCAAGACTCTGGTGATCTAAAGGGTAGGATGGTGCCTCAGGAATCCACACACTGAGATAGAACTTTTCCATGGATTCTGGGTATGTTACAGGCCAGGTTTTGCGCTGTGTGCTCTTGCCATCGCTCCAGTGAAAGAAAAAGCCTTGCTTATCATTCTGTGCTGGGTCACGCATGTCCCCAGGTATAGCCATCTAAAAGCTCCTGGGATGGGCATTGGTATTTCTTTTAAAAAATTGATGTGAATCTGGGCTTCAGGAATGGGAAAGAGTATTTCATGAATACTAAATAGAAAGAGTTAGCAGCTATGATGCTGTTTCCACAGAGGGCAGAATGAGAAGAGATGATTTTAATGTGGAAGAGAGGAATTAGAATAAAGAGCAAATAATTTTTAAAAACAACTGGGGCTGTGGAAAAGTTTGGTCCACACCACACACTGTCCCAACTTCCACATCTTACTAACGCTGGCCTTCCCTGCCACCCTCATCAGCCTTCAGTTCTCCAGGTGAAAGAACACAAGTATCTTCACATAGATTCATTTTTCTGGTTAAACACATTCCTATGGGGACCAAGCCGATACAGGTGCAGGAAATAATTACCCTGGGCTCTAGAACAGAGATAAGATGGTGGAAAAAGGGATTTTCACCAGCCTTTCTCATTCTCCCAGAACTCCCTGACCTTGTTGGTAGTGTCTGGGCTGCATTTGGCTCTGTGGCTCTTTCTCTGTTTACTATTCACTAAGTATGAGCAAGCTGTCTGTGTTTTTCCTTATGGTTACAATTTTCACTGCACTTGTCCTGGCAGAAGCTGGGACTGAATTATTATTTACAAAAGTCTTCCCAGACTAGAGGTTTCTGGTTTGAGGGGACTTTTTGTTGTATTTCTGTTCATTGGGGGGGGGGTTGATTTGGGTTTGTTTTTGTTCTCCTGGAGTGACCTCGGGCAGCTCCATGTACACACAGGAGGAAATGCCCCTTCCTTTCCATATCTTTTAAAATTGTGGGATGAAACATGGCCCATCACACTGTGATCCTAAACAGGAAGAATGTGAAATGTAAAAGAACACAACCCATTAAGTTATGAAGTCCCAAGTAACAAGGCAAGTACAGTCACCACAGAAATTATGTTTAAAAAAAAATACTCGGGTAATCAAGAGAAGTAATGAAATCATGATGCAGCGAATTCACTTTGCCCTAAATTAGGTGGATAATTTCTTTCAAGAGGACATCTTGTTTTCCCATCATTTTCTTTGCTCAAAGCTTTACACATGGATGGAAGTGAGAATATTTTGGAAGGAAGGGTTGAAATTTTAGTGTAGCTTTTGATCCAGTAAAACATAGAACATTAGTGACGATTACATTCAGAATGACTGTGAACCAAAGCTTCATCTCCAGTAAAGTCTGAACGCCAGGCTGGTTACAAGACATAGTTTCTTCTTTATTCTAGGCATGGCATAAAGCAAGCTTTATCTAAACCACATATCATAGGCATTTTAATCTGTGTTGTCCTTGCGAGATGAAATTGTTCAACGCCCCCTTTAATGAACAAGCGAACTGGACCCTGAAGCATTCATTGTCTTCCTCAAAGTCATCTGGTGGTTAAGTCAGGATGAAGCCAATGTCATTCAACTTATTCCTATGGGTTTCTCCTTTTCCATGCCACGTGTCATCAGTATTTCTTGTTGGCAGCTGAAGTCTCGTACCTTAGAGGACTAATTTAATGTTCAGAGCGAGTTTGTTACTACTTGTAGCAAAAGGACCTTGGGAATACACATATTTACCTGTTAACAGTGTTCATGAGTCTTGAGGTATTTCTGTGGCTCCTTAAATCTGAGAGTAGTCAGGACGGTCTCACTCTCCATAACTCCCTGCCGCGGCTTCATGATATGTGTGTGTTTAGGGCAGCCATCAGGAATGTAGGGGCTAAGATGAGGGACTAAAGATGGACCCAACCCCCTTGGGCAGGAATCTGGATGCATATTCTTGGGGACTTCGTGGACTAGTATGATGTGGAAATGATGCTTTTCCATTTCTCCCTTCCATCAAAGGGCTGACTCCAAAGGTAGGGTCCCTTCTCTTTACTTCTTTCAGAGAAATTCCCTTATCTCTAGGGAAGTTGAACAATTCTGGTCAAGAAGCTCTTAACATTGAGACCTTGATAATTCTGTATGGAACCTTTGGAAATGCAAGGAATGTGTTAAGACTAGATTTTTCTCATTCCTTGAATTACTTTATTAGAGTGGATATGAACTTTAAGAATAGCTAATATTTAGAACCCATGAGATAGGACCAGTATCAACCCAGTTTTACAGATGAGGAAACTGAGGCATGGGAACTGGGCCAAGGCAGACACTTAGTAAATAACAGTCAGGATGTAGACTTAGGTCAGCTGACAAATCTAACACACTTGCCCAATTGCCTCCTACCTCGGAGTCTTCTATTTGGGGTTTAATTCACACTTGGCCTCCTGAAGGGTAATTTTTTTGAACTTTCCTATCTCAAGAACACGGCAAACCTGTCCACCAACAAGCGTCAGAGAAACAAAGAGAGGGTGAAGTCACCACAGATGGTTCAGTTTTGAAAGTCATTCTGTTTGAATTAATATCATTTGACTTGATATGAAATATAAACAGATCTTCACCACGGTTTTCCCTGTTTTCTTCCACTCCTTATTCTAATTAAAACTTTGGTCCTTACATTTACTTAACTTTTCAAACAGCCTAAAGTAAGACTTGAATAATCTGTGTTTCTTTTCCTTTTTTCTTTCTGTGTTAGATTTTCATGATCAACCTCAAGCGCAGAAAGGACAGGCGGGACCGGATGTTACGCACCCTGTACGAGCAAGAGATTGAGGTCAAGGTTGTCGAGGCTGTGGATGGAAAGTGGGTTGGGTTTTTTCTTGAATCCTTGCAGATATGGCTGGAGTGGGGAGGTGCGCTCCCTGACAGAGGGTTAGGGCTCAGCAGGAGGAATCTAGAGTCATTAGAAGATGGACACATTGTTATAATGGCCACATGCAGCCTACTTTGGGAAAAGCTTTATGAATGATCGCAGCATTTAAATTAATTTCACCATGTAGAGTAGGCCGGAAATCCACTCACCATCCAGCGAACTCTGGCCTTCATTGTGCTGAAGGCTCACAGTGGAAGGGATTTTCCCCTTTCTCTGGGGGTTTTTGCAATGGTTGTGGTGGTTTCCAGCTTTCCGAAGTGTACTGGAAGGAATGCATTTAGAGTTGCATTTAGAGCCTGATTTAGAGCAAAGTGGCCAAACTTGGGCCACCTGAAGAGAATAAGTGAGGAAAAATGCATAACGATCCGTATATCCTGTTGTGTGAGATCTTACCGTAGCCTGCCTGGGCTGATCACCTCTCCCAAGAATATGGCAGGAAAATCCCACAGGGAACTTCATTGAATTCCTTCAAGAGTTTTGCTATAGCTGTTGTTTATTATTTTGCTTTCCTTTACCCTTTTATTTGACACTTTATTTCAAGGCATAGGTTTTTGCAAAACCTACAGTTCCATGTTTTTTGTTAGTTTGGAATGTGAATGGTTCTAAGGAGTATGGCTAGAAGCTATTGTGAAGCTTCTTATGACTTTTAGAGAATTTAATCAGAGTTTTTCAAAATGTGGCCTGGACACCCATGTCAGGTCTCCAGGGTTAAGAGAGAGCAGCTTCCTGAGTCCCAGCCCAGGGCTGCTGAATCAGGACCTGGGAATCTGAACTTGAGAAGCCTCAAGGTGATTCTTAGGTAAGGTTGCCACATAAAATATAGGACACTCAGTTAAATTCATCCCAAACATTGCATGGGCTTACACTAAGAAATTATTCATTGTTTATATGAAATTTAAATTTGACTGGATGGTCCATGTTTTACTTGCTAAATCTGGCAACATTTTCTTTGGTGCATGAGAGTTTGGGAACCACTGCTTCAAATACCTAAGAGCCCAAATTTTATTTATAGGCCACATGGACCAGGGGAAACTAGTTGAATTGTAAGAGTTCTTTATTTGTTCCTCATACAAGTCTCTTGTCAGATACAAAATTTGCAAATATTTTCTCCTATGTGTTGTCTTTTCAATTCATAATGGCGTCCATTGCAAAACAAGTTTTTTATTTTGATGAAGCCCAATATACATTTTTGTTGTTGCTTCCACTTTTGGTGTTATATCTAAGAATCCATTGCCAAATCCAAAGTCACAAAAACTTATTTCTATCTTTTCTTCTAAGAGTTTTATAGTTCTACCTCATAGAGCTCTCTTCACATTCAATTTTTGCTCCATTTTGAGTTAACATTTTATATGGTGTGAGATAGGGATTCAGATTCCTTCTTTTGCACATAGTTTGGGTCTCTTAGCACTATTTGTTAAAAAGACTATTCTGCCCCAACCGCCCCCGTTAAACTGTCATCACCCTTCTCAAAATCAATTGACTATAAATATCAGGGTTGATTTCTAGACTCTCAGTTGGATTCCACTGATGTATTATGTCAATCCTTATGTCAATACCACACTATCATTTGACTGTAACTTTATATGTAAGAAAGTCTGAGTCCTTTAACTTTCTTATTCTTTTTCAAGATGGTTTAGGCTATTCTAGATCCCTTGCATTTCCATATGAATTTTAGCATCAGCTTGTCATTTTACACAAAGAAAAGATAGCTGGGATTTTTATTGGAATTGCATTGAATCTGTGGATCAGCTGGGGGGACCATTTCTATCATAATAACTTGAAGTCTTCTGGTTCATGATCATGAGATATCTTTCCATTTATTTATCTCTTTAATTCTTTGAATGATTTTTTATAGTTTTTAGTATGTAGAAGTCTTGTGTTTCTTTTGTTAAATTTATTCCTAAGTATTTTACTCTTTTTGGTGTTATGGTAAATGAAATTGTTTCTCTAATTTCATTTTTAGGTTGCTCACTGCTAAGTATGTAGAAATAGAATTGATTTTTACATATTGATCTTATATTCTGCATCCTTGCTGAACTCACTTACTAGTTCCAACCCAGTGTGTGTTTGTGTGTGTGTGTGTGTGTGTGTGTGTGTATTCCTCCTCAGGATTTTTTATATACAAGACTATGTCATCTGCAAATGTAGATAGTGTTACTTCCTCTTTTCTAATCTGAATATCATTTACTTATTTTGTTTGCCTAATTTCTCTGGTTAGATCCTCAAGTAAATGTTGAACAGAAATAGTGTGGACATCCTTGTCTTGCTCCTGATATTAGGGGAAGCACTCAATCTTTCACCATTAAGTATGATATTAGTGTGTGGTGGGTTTTCATAGTTGGCCTTTCCTGAATAGAAGAAGTTCCCTTTTATTCCTATTTAATGGAGTGCTTTTATCGTGAAAGGGTGTTAGTGTCTTTGTCAGTTTGGGTTGCTTTAACAAATTACCATAGGCTAGGGGCTTAAAAACAAACATTTATTTCTCACAGTTCTGGAGGCTGAGAAGTCCAGGAGCAGGGTGCCAGTGTGGTTGGATTCTGGCGAGAGGCCCCTTTTATGATTTGTAGATGCTATTTTCTTGCTGTTCCCTTAACACAGCCAAGAGAAGAGAGAGAAGAAGCACCCTCTCCCATGTCTCTTTTTATAAAGGCACTAATCTCATTTATGAGAGTTTCACCATCATGACTTGGGGCCCTACCTCCTAATACCATCAACTTATGAACTTGGGGTGAATATAAACATTCAATCCGTATATAGTTGGATTTTGTCAAATGCTTTTTCTGTGCCTATTGAGATGATTGTGTAGCCATGTGATCTTTTTGTCTATTGATACGCTGTATTATATTGATTGATTTTCACATGGGAAACAAGTCTGACAATCCTGAATAAATCCCATTTGATCATGGTGTATAATCGTTTTGATATGTTGCTGAATTCTGTTTGCTAGTATTTTCTTGAGAATTTTGGATCTATATTAATAAAGGATATTGGTCTATAGTTTTCTTGTGATGTCTTTTTCTAGTTTTGGTATCAGGATAATACTAGCTTCATTGAATGAGTTGGGAAATGTTCCTACCTCTTCTGTCTTTTGGAAAAGTTTGTGAAAGATTTGTGTTAATTCTTTAGATGCTTGGCAAAATTCCCCAAAGAAGCTAACTGATTATGGGTCTTTCTTTGTGGGAAATTTTATTACTAACTCAACTGCTTTACTTGTTATAGGTGTATTCAGAATGTCTGTTCCTTTTTGAGTCATTGATTTGTAATTTTCTAACAATTCATCAGTTTTTTTCTAGGTTATCTAAGTTGTTGGCATACAATTGTTCATAGTATTATCTTATAATCCTTTATATTTCCCTAAGGTCAATAAGAGTCTGCCCACTCTTTCATTCCTTTTTTTAAATAATTTGAGTCTACCTTTTTTTTTTTCTTCTTGATCAGCTTAGCTAAAGGTTTATCAGTTTTGTTGATCTTTTCAAAGAACCAACTCTTTGGTTTTGTTGATTTTTTCTATCGTTTGTCTATTCTCTATTTCACTTATTTCCACTCTAGTCCTAATTTTTTCCTTCTGCTTGCTTTGGGTTTACTTTGCCTTCCTTTTTCTCATTTCTTAAAATGGAAGATCAGATTATTCATTTGAGGTATTCTTTTTTAATATAGGCATTTATGACCATAGCTAACCTTCCCAAGTACTACACTAAGTGCATCCTGTAAGTTTTGGTATGCCTTGTTTTCATTTTCATTCATCTCTAACTATTGTCTCATTTCTTTTGTGATTTCTTCTTTGACCCATTAGCTATTTGGGAGTGTGTTGTTTAATTTCACATATTTGTGAATTTTCCAAATTTCCGATTGTTATTGATTTTTAATTAATTCCATTGTGGTCAGAGAACATGCCTTATATGATTACTGAGGCTTAATTTATGATCTATACAGTTTTTATGGTTTAACACAAGGTTTTTCTTAGAGAATGTTGCATGTGAACTTGAGAAGAATGTGTATTTTGCTGCTGTTGGGTGTAATGATCTATAGATATCTGTCAGGCCTAGTTGGTTTGTGGTGTTGTTCAAGTCTTCTGTTTCTTTGTTGTTCTTCTGCCTTGTTGTTCTACCCATTATTTATAGTGCCTTATTAAAGTCTCCCAGTATTATTATTATTATTATTAAAGATTTTATTTATTTATTTGAGAGAGAGAATGAGAGACAGAGAGCACGAGAGGGAAGAGGGTCAGAGGGAGAAGCAGACCCCCCGCTGAGCAGGGAGCCTGATGTGGGACTCGATCCTGGGACTCTAGGATCATGACCTGAGCCGAAGGCAGTCACTCAACCAACTGAGCCACCCAGGCGCCCCAGTCTCCCAGTATTAGTGTTAAATAGTCTCTTTCTTTTCAGTTTCTCAGTTTTTGCTTCATGTTTTTGCTCTGGTGTAAGGTGCATGTATAATTACAATTTTTGTCTTTCTGATGGGTTGATTTTTTATTAATCTTTATCTCTAATAATTGCTTTTGTTTAAAAGTTTACTTTGTCAAATATTAATATAGCTCCTTCAACTCTCTTGTGGCTACTGGTTGTATCCTTTTTCATCCTTTCACTTTAAACCTATTTGTATCTTTGAATCTAGTCTGTCTCTTGTAGACAGCACATAGTTGAATCATGTTCCTAAAAACTCATTCTGCTAAGCTCTGCCTTTGATTGTAGGGTTTAATCCATTCATATTTAGTGTAATTACTGATAGGGTAGGATTTAGGTCTGCCAGTCTCCATTTGTTTTCTATATGTCTTACGTCTTTTTTGTCACTCTGTTCTTCATTATTGCCTTCTTGTATTAAAAAGATACCTTCTACTCTATCATTTTAATTCTCTTGTTTCTTTTACTATATATTTTTAGTTATTTTCTCAGTGACTGTCATGGAGATTACAATTACCATTTCAATGTATAGCAATCTGGTTTATATTAATACAAACCTCCTATAAGAAAACATATGGGTTAAGGTCCTCAACGTTATTTGTGCCAATGGTTTTTTTTTTTTTTTGGATTTGACACCAAAAGCAAAAATAAACAATTGGGACTACATAGTAAAAGAAATTATCAACAAAATGAAAAGGCAACCTACCTAATGGGAGAAAATATTTGCAAATCATATACCTGATAAGGGGCTAATTTCCACAATATATAAAGACTCATACAACTCAATAAAGACTCATACAACAACAAAACCCAAATGACTTGATTTAAAAAATGGGCAAAGGATCTAAGTAGACATTTTTCTAAAGAAGACATTCTTTGGACAACAGGTACATTAAAGGGTAGACGACAGGCACATTAAAAGGTACTAAACCTCACTAATTACCAGGGGAAGGCAAAGCCAAACCACAGTGAGATATCACCTCATATTTTCAGAGTGGCAATTATCAAAAAGACGAGAAATAACAAGTGGTGACAAAGATGTAACAAAAGGGGAACACTGATATACTGTTGATAGGAATGTGAATTGGTTCAGGCACTATGGAAAACAGTATGGAGGTTCCTCAAAAAATTAAAAATAGAACTACCCTATGATCCAGCAGCTCCACTTTTGGGGATTTATCCAAAGAAAATGAAAAAACAACCTCAAAAAAGAAAAAAACATATGTACCCCCATGTTTCTTGCAGCAGTATTTACAATAGCCAACCTAAGAGTCCTATCAGTGGATGAATGGATAAAAAAGATGTGGTGTTGCAGCCATCAAAAGGAAGGAGATCTTGCCATTTGCAACGACGTGGATGGAACCAGAGGGTGTTATGCTGAGTGAAATAAGTCAATCAGAGAAAGACATGTATCAAATGACCTCACTGATATGAGGAATTCTTAATCTCAGGAAACAAACTGAGGGTTGCTGGAGTGGGGGTGGGGTGGGAGGGATGGGGTGTCTGGGTGATAGACATTGGGGAGGGTATGTGCTATGGTGAGTGCTGTGAATTGTGCAAGACTGTTGAATCACAGATCTGTACCTCTGAAACAAATAATGCAATATATGTTAAGAAAAAAAAAAAGAAGAAGAAGATAGCAGGAGGGGAAGAATGAAGGGGAGTAAATCGGAGGGGGAGATGAACCATGAGAGACGATGGACTCTGAAAAACAAACTGAGGGTTCTAGAGGGGAGGGGGGGTGGGGGAATGGGTTAGCCTGGTGATGGGTATTAAAGAGGGCACGTTCTGCGTGGAGCACTGGGTGTTATGCACAAACAATGAATCATGGAACACTACATCAAAAACTAATGATGTAATGTATGGTGATTAACATAACAATAAAAAATTTTTGAAAAAGATGTGGTGTATATAAATATATACAATGAAATATTCATCCATTAAAAAAGGAAGTCCTGCCATTTGTGAGAACATAGATGGGTTTTGAGGGCATTATGCTAAGTGAAATAGGTCAGACAGAAAAAGACAAATACCAGATGGTCTCATTTATAAGTGGAATCTAAAGAGAAAAAAACCCCAAATTCATAGATACAGAAAACAGAGGTGATTGCCAGGGGCAGTGTTGGAAGGTGGGTAACATGGATGAAGGGAGGTGAGTCGATACAAACTTCCAGTTATAAAATAAATAAGTCGTGGGGCTGTTGTGCACAGCATGGTGACTGTAGTTAACAACACTGCGTTGCTTATTTGAATGTTGCTAAGAGAGTAGGTCTTAAAAGTTCTCATCACGGGAAAAAAATTTTTTAACTATGTGGGGTGACGGATGTTAACTAGACCTAGTGCGGTGATCATTTCATAATATATACAAATATCAAGTCAATATATATCTGAAACTAATACAATGTTATATGTCAATTATATCTTGATTAAAAGAACCAACTGAGTGTCAGTGGTCTACAAAAGCTTAGCTTCTATACTGCTTCATTCCTTTCACCATCCTTTGTTCTATTGTTGTCAAACAATTTACTTCTTTCTATATTACATGCCCTTTAACAGAGACTTACAATTAGTGCTTTACACAGCTATAATTTAAATCAGAAAATTTAAAGAGAAAAAAAGAGTTATCAATGAAAAACATTTATACTGTCATTTATATCTACCTATGCAGTCACATGTCCCCATGCTCTTTATTTCTTTATATGGATTTATGTCACTCTCTAATTTCCTTTCATATCGGCCTTAGAACTCCCTTTGGTGTTTCTTGTAGAGTGGATCTGCTAGTGACAAATGCTCAGTTTGTTTATGTGGAAATATTTTAATTTCTCCTTTATTTTTGAAGGATAGTTTGACGAGATATAGAATTTTTGGTTGACAGTGTTTTTCAGGGTAGCACTTTGAATATGTCAACCCACTGCCTTCTGGCCTCCATGGTTTCTGAGAATCAGCTGTTAATCTTGTTGAGTATACTTTGTATGTAGGGAGTCACTTCTCTCTGCTCACAAGATCGTCTCTGCTAGTTTTGTTCTTACCTTCAAAAAAAAAAAAAATTAGGTCCAAAGGAAAGACATGCCCACGTACACAGTTCTTCCTATCCCCATCCCCTCCAGTATTTAATGCTACTAGCCACTTGTCCTTCGTTAGGAAAATACTTTTTCAAAGCTGTCAAAAAACTGGTAATACTTAGAAATACGTTGGCAATTGTGAGGGATATAACCAAGTATAAGACATCCTCTTGTCTTTGGCAAGCTTGTAATGCTGCCATGACATGTTAACCCTGAGGGGCTCCTAAGAGCTGATGGGAAACCTGAGAAGTCTTCCTCAATGCACAGAAGGGCTTTGAGGAACATCCAGGACTCTCTCTTTCTGGCTTCTGTAGGGGGGACATCTCAACTTGTTAATTTTCAGACATGTTCTCTGTCTTGCAGAGCACTCAACACAAGTCAGCTGAAGGCCCTGAATATTGAAATGCTGCCTGGATATCGAGATCCCTACTCCTCTAGGCCTCTCACCAGGGGTGAAATCGGCTGCTTTCTCAGCCACTACTCTGTCTGGAAAGAGGTAAATAATGCTTGTTTTAGATATGCAGTTTTATAATAAGGAGGAAGGGAAGTGGGACTTTGTAGGTGAATTACAGCCAGATAGATAGTGAAGCCGTAACTGTTCTGGAAGTATGCTTGGAAGTTTCTGTTGCCTCGTGTCTCCCTCTGACACAAGGCCAGCAACAAACAGGGAGAGGGAGCCTTGTTGCCGCTTGAGATGATAACAGGGGAAGATACCCATGTTCAGGAGGCCACACTCCTTTTGATGTATCCTTATCCTTAGTAGGAATGCCTTGTATTGTATGTATCTAGCATGTCATCATTTATTAAACGATTTCATACAAGAAGTCACACAGATCGTATGAAGTGGGTCAGGATGCATGGGTTCATTTTATCCAAGAGAAAATAAGTAAATATCTTGTCTAGGTAAGAAGGGGCAAAGCCAGGACTTGAACCCATGGCTTAGACGGAGGGAGGTATTGGAGTGTGGGGCTCTTGATTAAGGGTCAATTCCCACAAGAAAAGAGAAAGTCCCTAAAGAAGGACCCCTTGATTGCCTTCCCTCTTTGAACGACCCAGTCTATGCCTATGTTTTTTCTTTAAACTTTAGGTGAAATGTAATAGAGACATACAAAATTAAATAAATCGTAAAATACAGGCCAGTGAAATTTCACAAATGAAATAAAAATACAGCCGTGTCAACCAGCACCCAGCTCAAGAAACAGGTTACCAGCACCCCAGAAGCACGTGCTCCATATTTCCTTCTAGGGGACAGTCCCCAAGGGTAATCACCATCTTGACTTCTAACAGCACAGAATAGTTTTTTCTGCTTTTGTACTTTTGTTCATATGAATGGAACCATAGGGTATTGAGGTATATAGCCTCTCAGGATTACATTCGGGAGATTCACCCATAACATTGCATTTAATTGTAGATCGTACATCCTCACTGCTGAAAATATATCCCAGTTTATTTATCCACTCTACCACTGATGACGTTTGCTTGGACTCCAGTTATGAGCTATTACATACTGCGCTACTATACTCTTGACTTTTTAATGTCTATTCACCTAATAAAAAATAGGTATTGGACTTCTCATAAGGTCTCTTCCCACTGATGATCTTTACAGGTGATTGACCGAGAGCTGGAGAAGACTCTGGTTATTGAGGATGATGTGCGCTTTGAACATCAGTTTAAGAAGAAGCTGATGAAGCTGATGGATGACATTGACCAGGCTCAGCTGGATTGGGAACTGATGTGAGTGGCAAGACAAGTTTATCCCAGAGCACTGAGAGGACTCAGTCCTGTTCAAGGGGCAACAAGCTCCACCTCCCCAACTGATAGGAAATAGAGCTCGCGCTTCCACTTTGCCAACTTTCTCTCCATAAATGTTCCCACAAACAAGAAGTGAGTGGAGGACAGGCCCTGGTTTCTGCATCTATATACTCTGTGGGCTGAGAAAGAAATGGTGGGAGATTCTTGGTGAGACCTGGAGCCTGCCTGCTGGTCAGGGGTCTTCAGCCTGAGCGCTCACGTGGGAGCACAGCAGAAATCCCACCAGTGAAGCAACAGGTGCATGGAGAGGTGTGAAGAGAGAGGGGGAGGCATTCATTCAAGGGCAAGAGTCCTGTGTTACACTTGAGAGCAGGTTTCCTCTGTAGCCTCTGAGAGTATGGGGGCTGAAGGTCAGCATGAGAGTGCCTCTCTTGGGAAGGGAAGTGTGCAAAGGCTTACCAGGGTAATGCTGGTTCTGAATTGACATTTAGTTAATGCTCTGGTAGCTGTCTCTGGGAATTAAATGTCTCTCTGTCTCTCTCTCTGTTTCTCTCTCTCTCTCTCTCCCCTTCTTTCTCTCCTTCCCCCTCCCTCCCTCCCCCTCATGCTGTCTCCCCCTCCCTCCCTCCCTTCTGTCTCTCACCCCCCTCTCTCATTTTCTTTTTAAACCAAATGACACTTTTTACTTCTCTCCAGTGAGGCAGAAAGTTCCCAAGCATTATGTACACTGCCCAGCTGCGTGTCGAAGGCAATTTCATCAAATCAGAGCCTGTTCCTTTGGAGTGGCTGCAGCAGACAAGCTGTCCCTACTCCTCCCATCCTCGGAGGGAAACTTAACTATGGGCCCAAGTGGAATACTTGTTCTCTCAGAAAACATACCATTCTCAGCCCAAAAGAAACCTAGTAGTGACTCAACTAATCCATGGGGAAGAGACCCAGAAATCAGTATGGTGTAATAAAAAGAGACTGGCTCCCTGTCAGATGTCAGCCATGTGATTAGATTCTGCACTGTCCCTTAGGATCCTTGCCTGTTCCTATAACCCTCCAGAAGTCCCCACACCTCAGTCTGAGTCTGTAGCTCTGCAGCCTGTGGCTACGCCTCACGGGCATGGAGCCTGGAAGCCATTTTGTTCTCACATGACCTGCAAAGACAACTTTCACTTAAGCCTCGGAATCAGAGGACTGGGCTTAGGAAGTCTAAGACTTATGATTGACGCATGTCCTTGTCCACTTGTGGCTCAGCTGGTGCATTTCTTGGGACAAGGAACCAACAGATTTGGGGCACCTGGGTGGCTCAGTCGTTAAGCGTCTGCCTTCCGCTCAGGTCATGATCCCAGGGTCCTGGGATCGAGCCCCGCATCGGGCTCCTTGCTCGGCCGGGAGCCTGCTTCTCCCTCTCCCTCTGCCCCTGCCCCCGCTTGTGCTCTCTCTCTCTCTCTCTGACAAATAAATAAATAAGTAATCTCAAAAAAAAAAAATGACAGAGCCAAGAAAGCAGAATGATTGGATAAGGATATGGGTACAAGGAATGATAGGGATACAAAACAAAAATCTTTTCTAAATTTCACAGACTGATCAAGGGAAAATATGTCATTAATATCAATTATATACTATTCAAGAATGACAGTGGTCTCAAATTTTTGTCTTTCTTTCTTTCTTTCTTGAGACAGAAAGAGCATGCAAGCCATTTGGGGTGGTAGAGAGAGAGGGAGAGAGAGAATCTTAAGCAGACTCTGCACTGAGCACGAAGCCCAACACGGGGCTCGATCTCACAACACTGAGATCCTGACCTGAGCTGAAATCAAGAGTCGGACACCTACCTGACTAAGCCACTCAGGCGCCCCTTACCTATCTCTTTCTAAAACGAACAAAAACAAATGTTACTGAAACTCAAACATGAAAGCTGATAAGCTGTCCATGGCTGCTATGTTACATTTCTCCAGAAAAGGAAATAGTAAATGGGAAGAGTAGAACAAACCACTGGAGTGCTGTCCAACAGTAACATAACATGAGCCACATACATCATTTGAAATTTTGTAGTGATCCCATTCAAATGGTAAAAAATACATTAGGATAATTTAATAATACATTTTATTTACCCCAATGTCTCTGAATATTATTACTTTAATATGTAATCAATATTTAAAAACTATTAATGAGATAGTCTACATTGTTTTCTGTTTTTATTTTTGTTTGAAAACTTTTTCATTTTTTGTTTGTTTGTTTAGAGGGAGAGAGAGAGAGAGAGAGGCAGAGGGAGAGGGCAAAAGAGAATCTCAAGCAGGCTCCACGCCCAGTGCGGAGCCCAGCATGGGGCTGGATCTCAGGACCCTGAGATCATGACCTGAGCCAGAACCAAGAGTCCGACACTTAACCGACTGAGCCTCTCGGTGCCCCTTTTCTACCATCTTTAACATCCAGTGTGTATTTTATGCTCACAACACGTCTAAGTCTAGATGCTGTTTTCAGCCGCTGCAATAGACTGCAGTCCTACCGAAACAACTGTGTTTAATGGAAAAAATATTTTACACATCTTCAATTTTATTTTAAAATTTCAATTTGAACTATGTAAAATGAACCCGTTGAGTACAAACTCCGGTCCTGTCACTCTAGCCACGTGTCAAAGGCTCAGTGGGAGTTTCTCTTCCACTTGATGGTACCTGAGAGAAATTCAGACGCTTTAGTCTGAAGGGACGGTGGCTGAGAAGAGCTGTGTTTGGTGTCCTGAGAAGGTGAACAACGACTCATGCCACCAATCCTGAGATGTCTTGACAAGAGCAGTCCTTTAAATGTTGAAAGAGAGAGTCTTAAGGCAAAACAGAGGAAGGCAGGGCTTTACCCCCAGGCAGGAAGCCCGCACCTCCTCAGCTTGCTCCAGGCAGGTGGAAAGCAAGCGGGGTCCAGACAAAAGTGACGGATCACAGGTCTGTGAGTAGACTGTGGGGAAGCTGGAATGGCTGTTGCAGAAGCTCTTCGAGAAGGCCAGGTGCTTTTCTCAGAGCAAAATGAGGGCGGAGCTAGGTGCATGTGAGGAAGAGAAAGCCAGGCAGGCTTTGTCACTCACTCTTCCCAGGAAGGACCCACTTGGGGCCCCTGGGGTTCCCGGGTCTTTGACTGTAGACTGTGTCTTCCCCACAGTGTTTTCTGTCCTGTGTTTACCGTCAGCATCTGGAGAGCTATCCGGAGACCATCGAAGGCTGAAACTCTAGGGATCTCACCTCTGAGCCCTTTTTGTCCACTTCCAACCTCTGTAAACACATACTGTCTTTGGGAAATGATCGGAGGGATCTTTTAGTCTCTCTAGAGTTTAACTTCCGGGCTGGAGCACAGTGCTAGGCAAGAGCAGTTGGGATGTTGGTAGATGGAGCCAGGAAAATGGCCCCCCTCATGGCAGGTGCCAGTCATCGCTGGGGATGGGACGCACATTGTGGTGATACTTTTGATGTAAGACACAGTTGGTCCCAGCGTTCAAAAGTATCCACAAACCTGTGCTCTGCTCTGTTCTTCCGGATGTCTAATATTCAAATTGGAATTTTGCTCCTCCATCTGCTTCCTTCTAGTTATATTGGCAGGAAGAGGATGCAGGTGAAAGAGCCCGAGAAAGCGGTACCCAATGTGGGAAATCTGGTCGAAGCTGACTACTCCTATTGGACGCTGGGCTATGTCATCTCTCTGGAAGGAGCACAGAAGCTGGTTGGAGCCGATCCCTTTGGGAAGATGCTGCCAGTGGATGAGTTCCTGCCCATCATGTACAACAAGCATCCTGTGTGAGTCTCTCCACACTGCCTGCCCTTTGAGGGCTCACCCCGCTCATATGTTGTGCTCCTCAGATTCTCGGTAGTGCGTGGTATTTTCTAAAGCATGCCCTGCTTTCCTAAATGATCTTTCCATAATCACAACTCAGAGAGGCTGACTGGAGTGACTATCCCCTTGTACAGATGGGGAAGCCGAGGCTGAAAGGGCGAGTCTTGCGTGGCAGCCCTCTGTAATACCCCGTGTGTAGTTTACCTGGACATAATATGCTCGGTCCTCTCCTTGTTTTGATCTTCTTATTTCCAAAAACTCATACACCTGAAGGTGAAGGTCATCTTCCTGAGCACCTTCAAGTGTTCAGTTCATTTCTTAGTCCGTTGTGTGTACTTGTTGGGCAGGCAGGGGTCCCCCTCCCTGCAGAGCTTACGGTCTGGTCGGGAATTCAGACTCACGAATGGTCCTCGTGATGTACTTACTATGAGACTGCAGCCACAGAGGTGCGTTAGAGGCTCGGGGAGGGTGGAGGTGGCCCCTGAGCAGGGTAGCTATGGAAGAAGGCAGTGTGATGCTCAGGGCTCCCCTTACGCAGGAGCTTACTCTGACCTAGCGTTGTTTGAAGGGTGTGGAGATGGGTGGTTTACGAGTCAGTCTCCCCACTAACCTGTGAGCCCACTGAGGCAGGAACAGTTTCACATCCCTGTGTCCTGAGAACCTAGTCCCAACTCTACCCATAATAGCTGCTCAGTCAATGGGTCCTAAATTCATTAATGGAGGAGGAGACCAGATTCTAACCTCGGCTCCTTCTCTCAGTTGCTGGGTGATCTCCTTACTAGCTGGGCTTCATTTTAGTGGTTGAGAATTCCTGTCCTGCATCTGGCTCATTTGGTCTCCCGTCCTCAGCAAAGACGGATCTCCTCACCCTCTTTGATAGAGCTGACTGTATATCCGTGTCCTAGCAGGAGCATGGAGGTCAACCATCATCCCTGTAACAGAAAGGAAACTAACAGGCACGGTGCACTGAGTGAGCTCAGAGCCAAGCAGATGTCACCTCGTGTGATCTGCACAGGAGCCCCGGGGGGGGGGGGGGGCGAGTCGTCCTCCCCTTTACACTCATGGGGAGCTGGGGTGCAGGGCCAAGCCGGCCTGCCTCCAAGCCTACACAGTGTGACTTACCCCACCACTGCTGTTCAGATCTCAACTAATTTATTCATCCAAGAACAGGGCATCTTCCACAAAGTGATCACATTGCCCTCTCGTGATGGTCCAACAGAGCTTAAGTGTCAGCTTTTAGAGTAAGACCTGAAATTCATGTTTTAAACAAGTCCAACCAAATACAACAGAAATATCCTGACCTTTCTCTTCGTGTGTTTGTTTAGATCATCTGAAAGCTTGTAAAGAAACTGTTACTGTGTTTGTAGACTAAACTTTTCCCCAAAGGACACAACTTTAAAAATCATCAAAGGCCCCCATGGCAATGTAAGAGAGGACCAGCAGGGCCCCTCTGCTCTCCGCACCCCCCCGCCAACCCCGGTCCCCGTTCGCTAAACGCCCTACCCCCTCACACACCTGCACTCCTCTTGTTTGCAGAGCTGAGTACAAGGAGTATTATGAATCCAGGGACCTGAAGGCCTTCTCCGCCGAACCCTTGCTCATCTACCCCACACACTACACAGGCCAGCCGGGGTATCTGAGTGACACGGAGACCTCGACCATCTGGGACAATGAGACAGTGGCCACCGACTGGGACAGGACCCATTCCTGGAAGTCCCGGAAGCAAGGTCACATCCACCGCAACGCCAAGAACACAGAGGCCCTGCCGTCACCAACCTCCCTGGACGCTGTGCCTTCGAGGGATGAGCTATGAAGGCTCCGTGGGGGATTCACCACCCTTGATTTTTCTAACGGGCTATTCGTCTGTTTGCTCCAGCTTCTTCTAGTGGTCACAGTCCTCTAACCAAAGTGGTCTACTGTGATTGAGCAAAATTAATATATTCTTGACAGGGGAGGATAAGAAGGAAACTTAACCTAAATTTCCTAAGATGGCTAGAAGATAGGCTTTATGGCAACCATCGAGATAAACTTCCATCCAGACACCTAGCCCTTCAGTCTTTATTCGTGTGATACTGCTTCCTACATTAAGGATGAACAGTATGGCCCAGAGACTCATCCCTGAGAAAGGCAGTCACATCAATAAATGGGCAGGCAGGGCAGTCGAGCCAACTGGACCACATCCGTTGGTCTCGTGTGACCTTGAAAACTTGTGTATGTAACAAGTTTGGGGGGGGGGGGGGGTCAAATCATTTAAAAGCAAATTAATTGGGCTTTGGTTTAAAGGAACTCTCTCAGGAGCCAGAGTGACCTGTTCATCTTAGTCTTCGACATCCAATAGGGATCCAGTGTTTGGGTCTGTCTGAGACTTGGCCTTTGACGATCATGGCAACTGAAGGGCTCCTAAAGAGGCGTCAAGTTTGCCATGCGGTTAGAGTTTAGTAGATATTTGAAGGTTTGTGTAGATATTTGAGGAAGAAAAGAACTCAGACTTTGGCCTTGTATTGTGGTCACTTGAGTTAGGATGCTCTATTTATGAAGATAAATTTAATATATAAAGGGGTTCGGGCTGGTGTCTAACTTGTGTCCCAGGGGGCTCTGTGCTGCTGCGACATGTCACGCTCTCCCCTCCACGCCTGAGCCTGGGAACGAACTGGGAGTGTGAGTTTTATGAGTCACTGTTAGGAGGCAGAGCACATTTTCAGGCCAGCAACTGGCCTTGCCTGGGTTTTTCGTTCTATTTTGAATTATTTATTCTACAAAATGTGGGGAAAATGTAAGATAAGGCAGAGAAACAGATTTTTCAAGCTTTCATAGCACCCTGGGGAGTAGTGAGTGTGCAATCTGGTTCTCCTGCATTTCCCAGCCTGGCTCTTGCAGGGAGGCCTATGGAGTGGGAGATTCTCACCATCTGGAAACAAATGCTTTTCCATTTCAGTATACGTGCTGCCGAAGCGAGCACAATGCTTTTCCGTTTCAGATGACAGACTTGGTCAGAAACAATGGACTGATCCACTGATTTAGGCCAACATCCAGGGAAGCTCTCGGAGTCAGCGCCCTGGGCAGATGACCTCCCTGCTTTCCTCACAGAGTGATTTTCTGGAAAGTGCAGTGTTGGGCTACATATTCTCTGCCAGTTCCACAATCTGTGTTCCTCAGATATCTCATGATGGTTTGCCTCAGGTTTGTGTTCGCCCGCCTGCACGCAGTCAGACTTTGCCTCCAGAAATACCCTCCCACACATTCCTCCCTGAGCTTCACACTTTGGGGCAGAGCCCATGGGCAGGGTTGCTGCGTGAACGCAGCTCAGTGCTCCCTGGTGAGGGCCCCCAGGCTGCAGGACAACAAGGCAGCTCGCCTTCCACAGAACACCAGCCTCAGCCTTCCTGCTTGACTTATCGTTGATACTCTTCCACACCGACTAGTAAGCAACGAGGCTGAGGAGGGGGATCTCAGCCGACCTCAGTCTTCACTGCTTAGACATACCTGTCAGAGCCTGACTCATTTTTTTTTTTTTCTAGAAAAACAGAAAGAGCATCTGGGGAGCTAGTGAAAAACCCTTGGGTGATCCCTAAGGTTTCCTTGGGTATTTTGTATTTTGTTTGCATATTTGAGTGCGTGCCAGTGTGCCTGACTTTCACGATATATTTTTTTAATAGGGTGGGAGGTGGTCGGGAGATGGGGAGTGGAGAAAGATTGAGTTGACTTTTGTGTGGTTTTGTTTAATAGAGAACTTTTTGTTTTCCTTTTGCTGTCAGCTGGTCTGATGGGTTTATGAATTCTCATTCTTAAAAGATATTGGTCTTAAATTCTAGAATTTTAGATTAGGACTGTTCTACTGTGAATAAAGTTCTGGCTCTGTTAGCCCAGCCTTTGCTTCCGCCTGCTCGGGTCTGGGATCCCAAGCGGTGCTCTTTCGTTGTGAACATTGTGCTCTGCACACACCTGCATTTGTTTTTAAAAAATCGTCTCTTCAACAATCCTAGGGTTCCTTGACCTCATTATTCTTCCTGCGTCCCCTCCAGTCTTAAGTCAAGACATTTGACCTTTGCAGCGTCAGAGGCCTTTGCCTCCGCCATGGCACCTGCTCTTTGCCTCTGGAAGTTAAACATGGTCTGGAATCCCGATCTGGATCCCTCTCTGGATCTCGGGATCCAAGGTGGGATCTTCTGGACGATGAGCCTGACTTCAGCAGTGCTGGTGCTGCTGAGTGTGGACTGAGCACCTACGATTTGCAGAGGATACACTCCCCGGCCCTGCTTTGGGTTCCCTGGGCCCTCCTGCAGGAACTCTGGAGGACGAGAAAGAGCCGGCATCCCAGCATCCTACATTGCCTATCATGCCGTGTCATTTCAGGGAGGGGAAATGATAAACTACTTGCCTTCTAGAGATCTTTGTGAAAAATTAAAAAAAAAAAATAGCTCAACACTGTGATTATTTACTGGTTCTGCCAACACTAACCAATGGCCAACGCTGCTGGACCTTCCCGGACCTTGGCACTGGACCAAGGACGTCAGAGGCCAGAGATGACCATCAGTGCTGCTCAGCCCCATGGCAGACAAGAAAAGATGGTCACCGACCTCCCTGTTCGGTGGGAGTTGTTTTAGACTGCTGGGGGAGAGGTGGGTAAGCGGAAAAACTTTCTAGGCTGGAGAAACATAGGAGTCCCCAGTGGGAGGGTGGTAAGGGAGGGCCCATCTTGTAGTTTTGTGCTATAGGTCAGTCTAACCATTCATCGAAAGATACCAGCTTGTCCAAGGCCAAAGAACCTGATCCTGGGGCAAAAAAAAAAAAAAAAAAAGAGAGAGAGAAAATCCATGTTGGCCTCTGTGACCCCTCAAATTTCAGATCAAGCTTCCCCCAAACCAGGTGTGAGCACTGCCTTGTTTCAGGCCCTGTGCTGGGCACCAAGAATCTCAGAGGACGAGGAAAGATCCCCACTGCTGGGGGCGTCCACAGGCCGGTGGAGCAGCCATGCAAGCAGGAAGGCTTTATGTCAGAGGCAGGAACAAAACTGTAGGACCTCAGAGAACCCGCTTCTGCCCAGGAACATTGTTGGGGCAGCTTTGCTGGGAAGGTGGCCAGGAAGGTGACAGTTGTGTTGGCTGTGGGGGCGTGAATGGGCATTTAGAGAGGAGGGTTGGGTCTGGTGGGTGGTGATGCTTTCTAGGCACTGCGAAGGTGTGGGGCTAGGAAGGGGCCTGCTGGGGAGCGATGGGGGACTGGAGGTTCTGAGAAGTCTGGGATGTGTTGGGGTAGGTGACAGGAAACAAGTTGAGACCCGGTCACAATGGCAAGGTACGTCAGCTACCCTCCCTTCCGGGGTTATCATCTGTTATGAATACAGAGGCCATTGTTTCTGGGGGAATTCTAGATTTGGTTACTTTCCTGATAAACAGTGCCAAGGTTTCCAGGAAAACGCTGGTGCCTAAAACAAGAGAAGTTCCCTTTCAGCTACAGACTCGGGGATCTTTTCCCTTACAGTGAAATAAGTGTAAAATAAAGGTGAGTTTTCCCAAGAGGTTCCTACAATGTGCTTTTGAGACATTCTCCCCAAGTAAACGGAGTAGTAGAGAAATGATCCAGAAGTGATATCCATGAATGGAGCGCCTGGGTGGCTCGGTCGGTGGTCGAGCACCCAACTCTTGATCTCGCTCAGTTCTTGATCTCAGGGTTGCGAGTTCGAGCCCCACGTTGGGCCCTGTGCTGGGCATGGAGCCAACTTCAAAAAAAAAAATGATATCCACGATTGACAAGAGATCAGTTCATTGAGGAGTTAACTGACGACAAGGTGCAAATCAAAATGAGGCTGGTCATTCCATAAGAAAGTAGTCATGGGTGACGGGAAACAAAGAATAGGCAGTTTTGGAGAGAATCATTATGCCCATGTTGTATGTTTTGGGGTGAGGTTTATTATTTTACAGAGAACCTTCCCTCCAGGGCGTTCGGATTAAATGTGGCAGAGGGAGGAGGGCCAGGAGAGGGCCGTGGCCTGTGAGGGGGTCTGTCCGTGCGCAGGCTGAGGGCGGCCTCGGGTCCGCGCCGGGCAGTGAGACCAAGCTGAAGAGTCTGACGCGTGGTGGCCCGGAAGTCCTTTCTGGCTGGTTGGAAAAGAGAGAAAGCACACTTTGTCACACCCCCAGAGTGTGAAGGCACCGTGGAAAAGCCTCGCCCGCGGCTGGTCTGGGGAGAGGCTGACTGCGCGCAGCTCGCGGGGGCCGGCGGCCATGGTGGTGGCCCCCTGGCGGCTGCGCGCTCCCGGGGGAGCGACCCGCTGGTGTGAAGCCGCCCTGTCTGAGCTGAGGGTCCCTCCCGGGAAAGAGCTGGGCCGCCACACAGAGCGGGCGGGGGCTTCCGTGAGGGCCTCCACCGGATTCCTTCTGCGGTTGGGGGACACTTTTCTCACCAGGAGGCCCGCTCCCTGCTCCTCCGTCCGCCCTCCTCTGCGCTCCCCTGGGGAAGGGGCCCTCTGTGCCCATGGCCCTGGTCAGGGACGATTTCCACGCACAAGGAGGTGCTGCTGTTCCACAGGCACGGGGGGCGCGGTGGGGGGCAACGGGCCTCCGGCCTTTTCCTCTGGTTCCTCGGCAGGCCCTTCAGCTCAGCAAATCCTCGGTCGCTGTGAGCACCGGGCGCTCCACTCGAACCCTCTCCTGTATGATTTTCCCCTCCGGGTCCCTCCCTACTTCTCCTGGCAGGTGCCCCGGCCTCACTCCCTCTGCTGCAGGGCCTGAACTTGTCTTTTGCTCCCCTGTCCTCGCACCTCTCTCCTGGGCTCTGTGTGCCAGGGCCTGGAAGCCACTTCTGCCCGCTGCC